GGTTATTCCTTAAGAAAAGTAAATGTGAGTTTGGGGCAACGAAAATAAAGTATTTGGGGCATGTAATTTCTATCCGTGGATTGGAAATGGGTAAACACAAGGTCTCAAGCATTCTAGATTGGCCTTATTTAAAATCTGTTAAAGACTTGAAAAGGTTGTTAGGACTTACAAGTTATTACAGATGATTCATTAAAAATTATGGTATACTAGCCAGACCCTTAATAGAACAATTCAAAAAATGTTGCTTTTAATTGGAATGAAGCAACTATAAAATCTTTCAAAGAGTTAAAAACTATCATGACCACTACTTAAAAAATGATGCCTATAGCCTATTTAGTAAGGCATTATTAGTAAGACATCAAGTTCTTTTTGTATATAAAAAAAAAATGATGGTTGTCTTTTGGTAGTAAAAAAATGGAATGTATACCTTGATAGTAAGCATTTCATTATTAAAAATGATCACCAAAGTTTAAAAGTCCTTTTTACTAAACAAGCTACTACACTTGCATAACAATTATGGATTACTAAGATGATGGGTTGTGACTACGAGGTCATCTATAAGAAAAGTGCTTCTAATATTGTGGCAGATGCTTTGTCAAGAAAACCTAAGTTGAATTCAACTCAAGTTTTGGCACAATTCACAAAATGTACTAGCTTATTGAGTAAAATTCAAGATTCTTAGAGTTAAGATCCAAGATTGCAGAAGCTGATAGAATATTTGCAATCTAATCCAACTTTAAATTTTTAGTATACTTGGTGTAGAAATCAATTGAGAGAAAATGGAAACTAGTAGTGGGAATGATATTAGCATTGAGACAAGGATTATTACTTTATTTTCATGACATCCTTATTAGGGGCACTTAAGAATAAATGTGAATATGCATAGGATTACAAGAGTCTTGTATTGGAAGGTGATGGAAAAATATGTGAAAAAAATACTTAAGGAATGTTAGCAATGCAAGGACTTTATAGACTTCATAGAATCTGGTATGACACCTCCATGGACTTTATAGAAGACTTGTCTAAATTCCATGGTAAAGATACTATAGTGGTGGTGCTAGATCAGTTTTGCAAATATACTCACTTTATAACTATATCACTTTTTCACAGCTTTAATAGTAGCTCAATCTTTTATGGATCATATTTTAAATTGTATGGGATGCCAAACTTGATTATTTCAAACAAAGATAAAGTTTTCATGAGTAGGTTTTGGTAGGAACTATTCAAAAGGCATAGAACTACTTTAAACATGTCTATTGCCTATCATCTTCAGTCTGATGGCTAAACAAAAATAGTCAATAAGTGTTTAGAAACCTACCTAAGATGCATGGTAAATGAGGCATCAAAGGAGTGGAGTAAATGGTTGTCATTGGCAGAATGGTGTATAACACCAATCATTACTTTTCCATAAGCACAACTCCTTATGAGGTGGTATATGGCTAACCTCCCCTAATGCATCTACCATATCTAACATGAGATTCGATGGTGACGTTAGTAGGCAAGAGCATACAAGCTAAGAAAGTTACAATTCAAATGATGAAATTCTATTTGACATGAGCTGAGGTAATGATGAAGATGATGGTTGGTGGAAGAAGAGTGAAAGGGAATTCAAGATAGGATATTAGGTCCATGTCAAGCTACAACCTTACAGACAACAATCAATGATGAATATGAGTTGTAATAAGTTAGTTGTCAAACTTTTTGGACCATACATGGTCTTAAAAAAAATAGTACAAATGAGGCTATAAACTAAAGGTACCTAAGAGATCTAAATTTCATCCTACATTCCATGTTTCTCAACTTAAAAAACATGTAGGTGATTCTATATTATAATCACAGTTGCCTATTGTGGGAGAAGATAGAACTTTGAACAAGGAACCAATTTAGATTTTAGACAAAATGATAGTCAAGAGATGAAATAGGCTATTATTGAATTGTTAATGCAACAGACAAATTCTTTCCCAAAAAATGCAACTTGAGAGGTCTTATTTGAGCTAAAAAAAGAAATTTCCTGTAATTGATCCTTAAGGACAAAGATCATTCTCAAGGAGGAAGTGATGTTACGAACTTATTCATGCTAGGCTAAAAAAGGTTATTGGACTTGTTATTTTGTTATTTGTTGGCTGGTTTATTTTACTTTTTTGTTATGGCCTATGTTTTAATGCTATATTTCTTTTTTTAAAAGTATTTTAGTTGTTGTTACTGTTAGGAGGAGAGATAATATGAAAATGGTTTTTGGTATCCTAGAATCTCAGGGTAGAGCTAGATAAGTTTTAACCAATGTAAAAAAGAGCGAATAGGGAATTGAAAGGCATTCTATTATGCAATACAATTATCATATTCTTTCTCTTTTATTCACATTTTCTTTATTTCTTTCTCTACTCTCTTTTTCTTCTTTTATTTCTCTCTAAAAATTGTTTTTGTTTTATAATTTTGAATTTGAATAGTAACATTTTGAAAAAGGATTTTGTTTTCAATTTTGGTGATTGGTAGATGATGGCTACCTAAGGCTTATGGTGGAGGAGGCCATGAACAACAGTGGTTTGTAGGTTGGGATATCAATGTTCTTGAGAAGAAAGAATCTATAAAAAGAAAGGAAAATACTTTGATGATAGAAAAAGAAAAGAAGATTAAAGAATGAAAAAAGCTTACTCCATTTTGGATTTTATCTAAGACTAAAACATTGTTGCTTTTATAGCTAAGGAAAGGTAGTATATAACTTGCTCCAACAACTTAACCTACATTTATATTCAACCCAAATATACTCTAGTGTCTTGTGACCTGCTTGATTCGAATCAAACCCAATTAGATTTGATTAACAACTTTAGATTTTATTTTTTTTTATATTGGATTAAAGCCTAATAGACCTGTTCATGTACTAAGCAGAGTTAGATTCGAATAAGGCTTAAATAAGGTATTAATAAGTGCTAAACTTGTCCAAGTTCGGCTCAATCCAAAAATATAGGCCTCATTTTGCTATTTAAGTCTAGCTGGTTTTTAGAATAAGCTGTTTAAGCCAGCCCAAATTTTATTTTATTTTTTAAAATAAAAAATAAAAATATTTTTATAATAAATATTAACAAAATAAACCATAAAAAACTAATTTGTTAATTTAATTTGATGTTTGAATGAGATTGATATATATATAGGCATAAGGTATTCATGCATGCACATGTATTATTTAATCACCATTTATTTTTATGAAATATAATTATAAATATTAAAGTATAAAATAGCTATTTGGATTGTGTCTGGCCTAAACCTTAAATGTTTTGCCCAAGACCCAATCCATTTTTTAAATTAACCTAAAATTTAAATCTAAACCTATTTAACATATCTAAAATTCATACCCAAACCTTTTTAAATTTTGGATGGGTTTTCGAATTTGAACAGATAGCTTAATCCTTAAATAGGTCAAAAACCCAACTTTAATAATATATAATAAAAAATTTTATATATACTGTTATTTTATAATATCAAAAAATTGAAAGTATAAAACTAATATGCTTAATTAAGATTAAATAATGTATTTGAAATATTTTTATTTTATAAGTAAAATACTTATTATACAAGAAATAATATAATTTATGAAAATTATATTCATGCTTAGCTTTTTTTAGTTTTTTTTTTTTTTTTTTTTTAAGATGAAGATTGAAAACTAACTCTTTGATTTAGTCACTTACATACATTTATCATTAAATAAAGTGTTTAAATACTTATTTCATCTTTTAACTTACATTTCATTTTATTAAAATAAATTCTTAAAAATTTTAATTAATTATATCAACTATAATATTAAAAAATATACATTTTTAAAAAATTAATAACATTTACATAATTTTTTTTTTTTAATTCTGTAGTGAAGGGCAGGTAATATTTCTAGGATTAAAGATTATAAGAGTTAATTGCATTTAAAAGTAAAACTAAATATATTAAAATTATTATTAGTATAGTGTACTTTTAACTTATATACTTTAATTTACTGCTAATAATTAATTTATTCTCACTTTATGTTTGGTACAAAGAAAAGAATAAATTTTGAATGTTTTTTATAGGAAAAAGAATTCATTTTTCATTCTTATTCATAAAATATACATTGGAAATATAAGAGTAAGAAAAAAAAAAGATATAAGTGTCGTATATTTATAAGAGTGTCTTTCGTATAAATATTTTAATTTAAAAAAAATATATAATGATAAAATCATATATTTAGAAAATTATAATATTTTTTTAATTTTTTCTATCTTTACAATCAAATATATCAATGAAAAGAAAAAAATTTATCTTTTTATTTTTCTTCTCTTTTAGTTTTTCATGTTTTTAATTTTCTATTTACCTTATCAAGTAAAACCTTTAATTTATATTTTATAAATATTACTAAAACAATTAAATATCAAATTAAATTTCTTCTTACTTTGTTGAAATTAAATGATAAAATTGAGAACAAAAAGAGCGGCATTTGAAAATAGAAGACCCTCCCAAACAAAACTTACAAATCTCAACTTTGCAAATTCGAATTTCGAATTTTCCCCGATCACAAAAGGCACAAAAAAAAAACCACTTCGGCATTTCCTTTTTCGTGCTATATTATGATAGTTGGCTTCAATTTCCCTTTTTAAGTTACACCAGTTACCTCACGAACCGGTTCTCCTTTTAAGTCACAAATCTTTTTACATTTTGAATCGAACGATCCAGGATTATAGTGAACAGATCTGACCATCATAATTCAAAGAATCTCATATTTAACCCCCCCACTAACGACCGTCAAGACATAACGGTAAAGTAATCTTGGATTTGGTGTATCCTAATTCGATTCCTCAGCTGTCAATAAACGACGCCCGTCAAACCTGAGCTGCCTGCAACCGCTGTCGTAGTGTTGCTGTATTATAACTGCAAAAGGAAATTTTTTATTATAATTGGTTCTCGTGCTTTGTCTAGAAGTTGCACTTGTCAGGTAGGTACCACTCTTCTTGTTTTAGCTTAGCTTAGCTTTGCTTTTCTTTGCTTTTTCCTTGCTTTACTTTGTTTTTTCCTTCCTCTCTCTCTCTCTCTCTCTCTTCTTTCCTCTTTAGAGCAGGGCTGGCTGGCGGAGGCTTATAGATTCTTCAACGTCTTCTCACTCCACCGGCTGGAAGGATGGATCCTTAACTTCTTCATGTTCGCGTTGCCTCTTCTTTTTCTTTCTTTTTAACCTTACTTTTTCTTTCTGTTAACCACCATATCCGTTCCTTACTAATAATTCCCTTTCTCTGAAACCATCTTCCTGCAATCTCTACTGGGATTTTGAGCTCTTCAAATTCTTCAGTAGTGCAAATATATGCTGTTTAATAAGGTTAAACCGTCGGCGGAGTCTTAAATCATTTTCCATTATCAGTAATAAGTAGCAGTAGTTTTCCAATATCAGTAATATGGGTAACTTTTACTTCATTTCTCTTGTTTTCTGATATGGGTTTCTGAGTTGATGGTTGTTGCTTGGTGTTTCTGCTAATTATATGTGCTCCCCACATCAAAACTTTTCATACTTTTTCCCTGAATCTTCTCACCCTTGCATTCCCAACTTCCACTTTTTACTAGATTTGCTTACCCACTTCCATTTAATCTCAATCTTCTGCCTTTAGTGCTAGCTTGGAACCAAAAGGTCTAAAATTTAACATTAAAGCTGCTGATAGGAAGAATATGGCGAAAGTTGCAGTCAAAGATGGACTTAATATTGGGGTTTTATATTTGTTTGCGATGTTGTGCAGCGTTACTGGAATTGGTGTGAACTGGGGAACACAGGCATCCCACCCTCTACCCCCAGACACTATAGTAAAGATACTAAGAGATAATGGGTTTCAAAGAGTGAAGCTTTTTGATGCAGATTATGGTACACTTAAGGCTCTGGGTAAGTCTGGGATTGAGGTCATGGTGGGAATCCCAAATGACATGCTTGCTTCTGTGGGTGGCAGCATGAAGGCTGCTGAGAAATGGGTTGCCAAAAATGTTTCCCAACATATCACCTCCAATAATGTCAACATCAGGTTAGCTTTCTATTCTTTCCTTCTGTGTTTTTTTTTCCGTTCAATTCAGCTCCTATCCTGTTGCTTAGATTACAACTTTTAATGGCCAATGTCATTATTTACATCCGCTGTGGCTGGAAAAGTCAATATAATGTGTTATCCTTGTGTTTTTCTTTGAAATTCTGCTTTCCTTGATCAACCATCAATTGAATTTCATCTTTGAAAATTTCTTATTTATATATGTTGTTAAGGCCCTCCTTACTGAATTTTTGATGTGACATTTTCTCTTTTTTCGCTTTCAGTTCTGACTGCTACTTGAGCTGAAGCTTCAGTAATTAAAATTTTGGTGGTCAGTTTGAATTTAAATTTTAATATAGAATAACTAGACCTTTATGCTAAAATATCCTTTAGATTTCGGTAACCTGGTTTGATTTGACTTTGTAATTGGCACTGTATTCGTTGATGTGGTACTTTGGAAATGAAAGGATGAATTCTAATGAATTTTGCCAAAGGCAATTATGATCCCAGAATACAAGAATATAGCAAAGTTCATAAACTCTTTGAAGAAATTGTGAAAAGTTCTACTAATGAAAACGAAAGTGGTAGTCCTTTTATTTTAGGCAAGTAAACTTAATTTTTCGGAAAATAATTAGCAAAATAAATTCTATATTTTCTTGAAATATAATTAAATTAATTTTAATTTCTGAAAAGTTGTCCTAGTTTCTTAGTTGTAATTTCTTAAACTATTGTTTTGATCAAGGGTGAAGTCTGGGCTCTTGTCTCTGGTGGGAATATTACCTACAATGATTGTAGTACAATTAACCAATCACAATTCAAAATTGTGTCGGGACCATCAAAATTTTATATGGAACTCACACTTACAAGTGCTGGACCCGTAGATAATATATTTATTGTGATTTGATAATTGTAGTATTGTAGTAAAAAGAATTGTAAATGAAATGCTCCCATATATATATATCATAAGTTTAAATGTTAATGTTTTGATGATAAAATTTTAATAATACTTTGTTATAAAGAAATTATGAAAACCTTTAAAAGTTTGAATATGGAGCTCATGGAAAAATACAAATTGTAATTTTGTTAAAAAAGAATTAGCAAAATCATATTAAATAACAATATAATCTCACTTTCTTGGGGGACTGAAGGATTTAAATCTAGCTCTATGAGGAGGGGGTACATACGTCTATCATTAAGTAAAAAGCTCGGACGTTGGTATAAGATTTTAAATATAAGTTGTTTTTTTAGTCGGAACCATAAGAATATGGCCCCTTTGTTTTTGATCCTTGCTTTGACCCTATCTCAATGAGTTTGGTCCCTGCCTTTTCCCTATGTAGTCATTCATTATGGCATTTTTTTTTATCTAAATCAATCAAGTTAACATTCTTTCTTTATTATTATTATTTTGAAAAGCAAAGTAAGAATATTCATATGATCAATAAATTTTGGTCAAATTCTGGATTTAGTCCCTTCATATAATTTGTATAAATTGAGAACCTTTATTCTCAAAATTTGTTAATGTAAATCAAATTGTTAACATCGTCAAACTTCCATTAAGATCATTAAGATTGTTGATGTATGTGTTGATTGTATTGATGTGTCATTGATCAAACTAATGGTGTTAGGTTGGAATTTTTGGAGATATTAAGATTTAAATTGTCATGTCGCTTTTTAGGTGGCTACATGACATGTTTTGGCCCAAGGCAACCATTTTTTCTTGAATTTGTTTTCCTAGTCCTTGTTATAATCTTATATTAAATGCAAATTAAGCACAAATTAAGGTATCTTATTCCAAATAAAACACTAAGAGAAAGAAAAGAGAGGGAATGAAACGAAGAGGAAGGAGGGAGGAAGAAAGACAAGAAATGAGATTAGAATGCATCAAAGGCAGTTGGGTAAATGAAGGAGAAAAAGTCTTTGATGCTGGTGACAAGCGGTGGTGCTGTTAAGCACCTGAAAGTTTAACACCAAAAAAGCTATGCAACACTTTTTTAATTTTTAAAATTCTCCAAAATTCTAGCCAAGCTCCAAACAACGCAACATCAGTTGGGTTAATGCCATGTTAGCATGGTCAATGCACATGTCAACAATCTTTGTTGAGGAAGCTTAATGGTTTTAATGATTGGACTACCATTGAAAAATTTTGAGAGTATAGGGACTCAATTTATATGAATTATATTAGACTGACTAAGTTTTGGTAAATTATGGGGACTAAATTCAGAATTTGACCATTAATTTTTGTGAATAATTGGTTCCTTGCAGACATTATTTTTTTGTCACAAAGTTATCTTATTAAATGTTTCATTGTGTTGTCAATCAATGAAACTGGTTTTAAATGATTGTTGATTGGACTGGACTGGTTTTTTAAGTTCATAACGCTTGTTTGTATTTGGCAGGTATTAGATTGAATGACCAAAGTATTCAAAAGTTTCTAGAAGTTATATAAAATAACTACTGTTTATATGAGTTTTATTTATAGCACATCTTAATAATCCTTGTAAAACATTTTAAAAGCTTGGATATGGACTTATAGATTAAACTTAACCATTTTTAATCACCTACCATTTTACCTAATATGCATGGGATGTCCATTAGAGATTCTCATTTCATCACTCATATCTCCTCCAAATTCTAAGTAATAGAAGTGATTGAATTGGGATGCAGTTAATCATATTGATTTCCAATCATTAGTGTATCTTATCCAAGGCTGCTTTTATTTTACGAGTAATGTCAAACATAGTGATTACTAGAGAATCTTTTTGCATGATCTCAGGCACTCTAAACCAATTTTTTAAAGATAGGGAATAGTTTGGTACTTCTTTTCTCTTCAGGGGTCTTATTTAGTTATGATACTACTAAGCTTCAATGATCTAACTCAAATATGCTATAATCCTAGCCTTTCTCTGAATAGATGCCCTCGTGCCCGCACTCCCCCCTTCTTTCTCCCCTTTCTACTTTTCCTATCCAGATTGCTTGTATAATACAGTTTTGCATGTCATAATATCCCTACAACCTGAATTTTGATTTTGATTCATCAGGACTTTTGATACAATGTACTTCTACATATATGAGGTATTTGGGCTGGTAACCCTTTTTTCTCAGCTGAAAAGAATTTATTAATAAAGTAACCAAAAGGATTAGACTGACACTTAATTAAAATATCCTTAAAAGGCTTGTTCCTCTTTGGAAAATGGCTGTTCACCTCTAGACATGACTAGTTAGCGAAGACATACTTAATATGTAACTTAAGTTCTGTCTGGTGTTGATTTGGATGCATCGACAGTTTATCTCGTGTGGTTAAAGTTTTAAGCTTGCTATGCCTCTTCTCAGTGCAATAACCCTGCAAATTTGCTTGAAACTTCATCTTTGCTTATACAATGTTTCCCAACGACTTATGTGAGTTGACATTGATCTTTTTGGTCTTAAAACTGATTAGCTAGTCTATGAGGCAAAGCAATTGACTGGGAAATTTGGTTTGGACTGTTGCATTAACCACTTGATCAAGTATAATAACTATTCTCTTTCTAACCACTTGATTATCATTTTTGGAAATATCCCTATATATTCATGTATTTGAGCTTTTTTACAACTGCATACATCCTTAAGATGTTAGACTATGACATAAATTTTGGCATATTTCCAGGTTTTATTCTTTAATTTCCATTGCATTTTATTGTCATTTCCCCAACTTAGCTTCTGCTTTGTCTACAGATATGTTGCTGTCGGTAATGAACCTTTCTTGGAGACGTATAATGGCAGCTACCTTGGAATAACCTTCCCTGCTCTTCGGAACATCCAGTCTGCCCTGGTAAAAGCTGGGCTTGGTAGCCAAGTGAAGGTTACTGTTCCCCTCAATGCTGATGTTTATTCAAGTTCAAGTGGCTATCCATCTGGTGGTGACTTCCGTACTGATATCCATGACCTAATGCTTACAATTGTCAACTTTTTGAGTGTTAGTGGTGCTCCCTTCACAGTGAACATCTATCCCTTTATAAGCCTCTATTCTGATCCCAACTTCCCAGTCGAGTATGCATTCTTTGATGGCAATGCATCGCCACTAAATGATGGTGGGATGCTATACTACAACATGTTTGATGCTAATCTCGATACTCTTGCATATGCATTACAGAAGAATGGATTTGCAAATTTGCCCATTATAGTTGGGGAGATTGGGTGGCCCACTGATGGAGACCAAAATGCTAACATAGAGTATGCCCGACGTTTCAATCAAGGTTTTATGTCTCATATTTCAGGTGGGAGGGGAACCCCAATGAGACCTGGGCCGATAGATGCATATTTATTTAGTTTGATCGATGAGGATGTTAAGAGCATTGCTCCAGGAAATTTTGAACGCCACTGGGGGACTTTTACTTTTGATGGGCAGGCCAAATATCCTCTCAACCTTGGTACTACAAACTCTGGAGCTTTAGTTCCTGCAAAAGATGTTCATTACTTGGAAAAGAAATGGTGTGTGATGAGGCCTTCAGCCAGACTTGATGACCCACAAGTGGCACCAAGTGTGAGCTATGCATGTGGGCTGGCTGACTGTACTAGCCTTGGTTATGGAACATCTTGTGGAAATCTTGATGCTAGGGGGAACATATCTTACGCCTTTAACAGTTATTTTCAGAAGAATAACCAGCTTGAAGTAGCCTGCAAATTTCCGAATCTTTCAATGATCACAAAAATCGATCCCACTCCCACAGTGGGAAATTGTAAATTTCAGGTAATGATCCAGCCGTATTATGAATCCGCTGCTGCACAAAGATATGGGTTTACCCTGAAGCAATTGGGTTTGGTTTCTGTTCTTATTCTTATTTTGCTAACGGTTCTATGAATTGGTAGGATTCTAATTGAGGTATCATTCTACAAACTATTCACAATGTTGGCTGTTGGAAGGTGTATCGAAGCTTATGAGCGATAAATGGTAAAGATGTCTTGAATTTTGCTATCCTGAAGGCAAACTTTTGAAGCTAAGGATTTTGATTTAGAATTTTAATTATTTGAGTCGGATTTAATATTTTGATGTGAGGTGGGTTTAGATGGGTTTAACATCCTGGATAGGTGGACTGGCATAGTTTCTGGTTTACAGGTTTGTTGGTCAATTCCTAAGGCCAAGGGGCCTTAATCATGTTGGTTTGGTTTTTATTTCTATTTTTGTTTTTTGTTTTATCCTATGATTAGTTATCGTTATCCCATTTATTTAGGAATAGAGATTTTAAAATAATGCGTATTCATAGGTTCTACCTTGCTTTGATTCGATATAAGTTATTTTTTGAAACTCAAGGTTATTGGGTCGGAATAAGCTTTCATACAAAAATTGTTAAGGCTGGTCAGAGTCAAATTTAGAGTGTTTTTGTTTTGTTTCGTTTTAGGGTATATATAAAAATATATATTTTATTAGTTATTTAATTATATATTATATTAATAAAATTATTATTTAATATTTTAATTTAAAATATTAATTTAATAAAAAATAATATATTTATATATAATTTAGATGTAATTTCTATTAAAAATAATATTTGCATGAACATTGTATTGAATTAACATCATTGAATTAATTTTAATTAAGTCAAATATGACGCCGATTATGTGTCCGAGTCGATATCAAGAAACTATTAAGAAATGAGGTTAGAGTGAAGGGGAGTATGAATCTGTCTCGGTGCGTTTATCATCCCTACCAAGTTCATATGTCGAAGGAATCATGCTTTCCATGGCATACTTTTTCTTTTTTTTTTCTTTTTGGGTCAGCCATTAACATTCTTTGTTCAAGATAATAATAGAGGTACAACAAATGTATGATTTTACCACTTCGTGGAAAAATAAATACTAGAGAAACATAAAGTTTAGAATTTAGAACACCAGACAGTATTGCTTTGCCTGGCACATTGGGAAGGGAAGGGAAAATAATGAGAAGAAAAAATGAAAGAGAGTAAGGGAAGCTGTAAATAGAAAAAAACATAGAGGAGAGGAAAGATGTTAGTGGCAAAGTTGTAAATAAAATTGTTAATTTAATTGGAGTTAGTGTAGAATGCATTAGAGCTACTCAAGAACAATAGCAACAACGTTGACTATTTTTTAAATCAGTTGATAAATGATTAGAGTTAATATTTAGAGGTTATGAGTTTGAGAGAATTTAAATATATAATATTTTTTTCAGTTAGATATGTAGTTGAGTAAGGAGGTTTAAGAATAGATTAAGAACTTAAAAAAAGAACAATAGACAATTGCTTCAGCACATGTTAGGAACAGAAATAACAGCAACCCAAGTTATTCAAAATTCGATCAAAGCTTAGCTATTTAAGTTGTTTGAATGTTGGTCAAATTTATTCGATTCTTAGATAGGTTATTTATATTTTAAAGATGAACTAAATTAGGATCAAGCATTGTACAGAAGATAAGCTTTAGCTTACCTATCTAATTTTTAAACTTAATTTTTGTGTATATATGTACAACACTAAAATCGAATGAAATGTGTTTTTTCAACCAAAAATTATGTAAAGCTAAAAGAACCTTAATTCAATCAAACTAACGAAAACGAAATCAAATAATCAATCAATAAAAAAAAGATGCAATAATTTAATATAGTTTGGTTCAACTAACATATGTTCATAGATAAGAAAAAAGATCTATTAATTATAGAGAATTACATTAAAACAAAATCAATCTTACTCACAATTAATATTCATAGACCCTATCAATTTTTTTTAGTTCTATGAAATATTCTTAACCCAAACAAACAAATACCCATATGCATCAATGCACTATACTTATGTGGACCATCTTAATTTTCTCTAGTCTACTCAAACATACACTGCTATAAATACATTAATATCTTACAGTCCTATCCTGTAGTCTTATGGGGTGTCTACCCCATTAAACCCTATAACTTTCTTACATCTTTTTTCTCATACCTAATCATATAAGAACTCCACATATTTATAACCATATTAATTTACCTATCAAGAATCTCTTTCCTTTTAAAATTCTTTTTGTGTAGATTTTCATATTCATTAAATAATATTTAATCAATTTCAAATAAATCACTTATGAGATTTAAGTTTGTATTTTCAATAATCTCCACCTTGGCTCAAATTTTATCAAATCATCAATTTTAATGCTAGACATATTTGGTTGCACCTACAATAGAAGTCTTATACCAATCTTCTCTATATGTCTTCACATTTTACACTTCATGCAAATTGATCTTCAAAATATGAACTTTATCTTCTCCTTTGAATAGATGTTCTCTAGGCTTACCTTTTCCCATATTTTGAACTTTCAGCTTTGATATCACTTGTTAAGATCACGATAGCTCTAATATCACTTATTATGCTAAAAAGCCCCCAATCAATTAAACAATCCAACATAGCTGAAGCGCAATCAAATAATTAATCAATCACACAAAAACAACAATCTAACGTGGTTCAGCCCAACTAACCTACATCCACGAATAAGAAAAAAGATCTATTAGTTGTATAAAATTATATCAAAACAAATCAATCTTACTCACAATTAATACCCATAGACTCTATTAATCTTTTCTAATTCTATGGAGTATTCTCAACCTAAACAAACACATATCTATGTGTACTCATGAACCATACCTATGTGAATCATCTTAATTTCTTCTAATACATTCAATCATATACTTCCCTAAAAACATTAATATTTTATAGTCCTATCCTATAATATTATGGTGTGCTTACCCAATAAAATTTTATAACTCTCTTATATTTTTTTTTCATATCTAACCATATAGAGATTTCACTTATTTATAATTATACTAACTTGTCTACCAGCAATCTCTTTCCTCTTAGAATTCTTTTTGTGCTAGTTTTATTGTCCCTCAAATAATATCTAGTCAATCCAAACAAATCTCTTATAGGATTTGAGTCACTATTCCTAACAAATTATATTGTTCTTTGAATGGTATCAAAGTTTTTCTAAGCCTAACAGCATTTATGATTCAATGGCCTTTACAACCACATACACTTTGGCTCCATACATTATAGCTACTTTTCATTATAGAGTTATCCAAATTAATGCCACAAATTACCTTCCACTCAAATTAAATTCCAAAATTTTTCCATCTTGGTATATATGCAACTTGACACACTTCTAAATAGCTTTATTTTATAAACTATGTTAATGGTACATATCCTAGTTCTATTCCAACATGAAACATTCGAAAAACCTTAAGTCTAAATCTAAAATACATAAAATAGGTCACGTAACATGAATTGATTCCACATGCCATTGTCACTTCAATCACTGAATCAGTGATCCTTAAGATAGCCACCTTTTAAGTCTTCAATTGAAAACTCAAATGGGGTTTTTTTTTTATGGAAATGAGTGACCTACTTTACATATAAATTATTTTCTTAAGTGAAAAAGCCAAATGAGTGACCTTCAGATTGAAAATTTTTATTTTCTTAAGTGAAAATGTATAAATTATTTTCTTTTTATTAAAAACTCAATTTTTTAAGTGAAAATGAATGAATGAATTTGTTTTACTTTTTTCATCTGGTAAGCTGGTATATTTAACAAGAGCATAGGCTTTTGTTTGTTATTTGCTTTGAATCTTTAGGTTTTTAAATGGCCACACAACTTTAACTTGTTGCTGAAATGCAGGAAAAATTGATATAGTAATTGGCTAAATTTTAAGAGGTTTAGAAGGAAAGAATCCCTTGCTTCTTGGGTGGCACATATAATTTCTCTCCTTGTCTCTTATAATCTTTCAAATATTAAAGCAAGGTGAGATAGGGTTTTATAGAGGAAAAAACCTTGCGAAGGATAATTTTGTAAGATAATTTTTATCTACATCTATATCTATATCTATTTTCTTTTCTTTTGATAATTTTGTCTATAAAGGAAAGATAATTTTGTTTTGATTTCTTATAGTTTATACTCTTTTCCATTTTTATATACATCTATACCAATTCTGGAAACCAAAATCCATACTTTGATGGGCATATTATATCACATTATAATAAAGTTCTTGTCCCTCATTTTATATTAGCCTAATAACATGTTAGAATCTGTATCTGCTTACATTAATTGAATGAAATTTCATAATTTTTTGTTTTCAAGTCATAAAATTGAGTGGAACGTCCACTGTTAGGATACTTTATGCAGCTATAAATGCTTTTATACTTTTCATCTTTTTGAAGATCTTGCAGATGACATAGTTGGACTACATTTTTGGGAGGTATATCATGTTTTTTTATCTAATAAGTTAAGGTGTAGGTTTACATTTTATTTTTAGTTTTTTAAGGTGGGGCTGTAGGTGTCTAACAAGCATTATGGGCTTAACACGACATAAATAAGGTGTAATGGTAGTTTTTAGAAAATGAAAATATTGATATGACAAGACATGATAATAAAAAATATTTTTTATATTTTAATGTAAAAAAATATTCAATAAATTTAAATATCGATAGTTTTTATTGATATATAATCAAATTCTTTGCAAAGCTCTCTTGTCATTATACAAAATATATCATAGGAAACTCAATGTAATTACTATCAATGTTCTATTTGTAAAACATTTATACTATTTGCATTTGTATAATATTTATGTATTTCTTTGTAAAATATTAGTATAATAGTTATATTTTGGGTTAAATATATATTTCGCCCTTGAACTTTAAAATTTTTGTCACATTGGTACCTAACGAATTTTTTTGTCATATTGGTTCTTGAATTTTCAAATCATTATTATGTTGGTATTTCAAACTAATGCTATTAGTCAGTTTTGTTGATGTAGCATGAACATTCAATAAGATACTGACTCGTTTAAAAAAACTCCAATTAGCATCGCATCATCATTACCTCGTTAGTATAAAAAAGAAAAATTAAGCAAAAATTCTAAAAAATTTAAAAAGTTAAAAAAATATATAAAAATTCAAAAAAAAAAATTAAAAATTTTTACAAAATTCTAAAAAAATCTAAAAAATTCAAATAAAAAATCTAAAAATTTCTAAAAATTTTTAAAAAAATTCTACAACCATTTAAAAAATTTAAAAAAAGATCTACAAATTTTAGAAAATTCAAAATAATTAAAGAAACTTGAAAATTTTCAAAAAATTTTATAAATTTTTTTATAAATTTATATTTTTTATAAAATTTAATTTTTATAATTTTAGTTGTTTTTATAATTTTTTTATTTTTGAAAAATTTTTTATAAGTTTAAAAAATTTCAAATTATGATTTTTTTAATTTATAAAAATATTACATATTTTTAATTTTTTATAAATTTTAAAAAAAAAGTTGAGAAACTGGAAATTTTTTTTGAATATTTAAAAATTTTAAATTTTTTAGTATTTTTTAGAAATTAAAATTTTTTATCAATTTAAAAATTTTAA